AAACTTCTCAAACAAAAATCCATTTTTCATGTAAGACTTTAGCCCATGATTTCTCTTTTTTATCCTTCGGCCCAAAACACAAGTCAAAGGTTAAGATCTCGCAACCATCATTATCTCCTTCTACAAGGACTAAACTTTGCCTTCTTAAGGCCATAACCGTTTACATAATTGACTTCCGACCTACGACCCTGAATCACAGATTAATCCAGAACAGGGTGTTATAGTGGTTGTGTTAGGTTAGTGGGAGTCATACGAAATAATAATCTATGTCTGTTGTGTCTATCCAAAGCAATTTTGTACTACCGTGCTAAACCAAAGTACTATTGTACTATCATGCTTGACGTGACTATCCGAAGTACTATTGTACTGTTGTGCTTACCCAGAGTGCTATTGTACTATCATGTTTATCCATAATATTATCATATTGTCGTGCCTAAGCATTTAAAAAATATAGATACCTGCTAACAAAGGTCCTTTAAGTAAGATCCCTCGAGATCATCATACTAGGATTAGAAAGTGAGGATAACCGTAGTGGGGTAATTAGGGATATTTGAATGTCGCAGAATATATAATTAAGGTTTATAATATTGTGGGATGAAAACTCTATGTACTCACCAGGTTTCCCAACCTTATCCACTATGTTTCTTGTATCATAGGTAGTGATACGAAAGTACTTGATATTTGGATCTGCTAGATATTAAAGGAAATATATGACATTAGACATTGTAAGGCCTGTAATGTCTTCGTTATGCTTATGTTTTTGTATCGATGATGACATCCCAAAAATTTTAATAAAACAACATTTCTTTCTAAATGTTTGGTAATAATATCATCATGTTATGGGGAACAAATTCAACATTATAGATCTTTAAAAAGGATACTCTGAACTGAAATAAGCATAATTAAATCGGTATTTTTTGGCTAATAAATTGGGGATGTCATAAAAATCACAGTGTTACTCACTAGGCATTCCTAACGCCTAACCCGTAACTTTCACATGTATTAAGGTGGTAGTAGAAAATGAGGACTTAGAGGATAACTTGGGATTTAGAACTCATGATATTATATGGTTACTTGAACTATTGTTTTGATATTATTGTTTAACCCTTGGGTACTTTAATTTGCTCAACTTTTGTGAAGAGTGATTATGAGATCTAAATTCCACAAATATTGACTTTGAAATGTTTTAAAATGATTTTTAATGATTTAAATACCAAACCAAAAGTAAGGGGTGTTACATTGCCTATCAACCGCAAAAGAATGGAAGTATGGTGAGAAAGTTATTGAAAGATGATGGGTTTTACATGCAATAACGTGGTTAAATCCTTAACACTTAAGGTTACATGCAACCTATTAGATCTATGTTATAACACTATTAAAGTAACATACTATTGAACAACAAGAAAACTATGAACCCTAGGTATTTTTCGAAACTGACAAGTAAGTTTGGAATTACATACTTTTTTATTCTTGTAGTAAACAATTAAACCTATCCTTCTTGAAATACTCTTGGAAGCAAACACTATAAGTTCCGTGCCTCTTGTGGCACCCAAACCCTAGCAACCAATGAAACTTGAAGAGAGAGAGAGAGAGAGAGAGGAAAAAGATCAGAATTTCGGCTATCCTTAGGTCTAAAAGACACACGATCGAAATTTCTATGTATAGGGATCCTTATATAGTGCAACTTGGAAACCATAGATAACCCTAAAAGGAATACAATAATATTATATCCTTTTGGTAATTATCCAGCTTCCTAATTATCCTCCAATGATAATTCCAGAAACCCTAGACCCTCCTAAAACCATCCAAGGCTATAGGAAGGTTCTGGAATGCTTATTGTTCAACTATTAAACAATTACACTTTAACCCCTGTATTTTTAATTAATCCTAAACTTTATTCAAATTCATTTTTGATTAATTCGTAATTAAATAATCATATTTCTAATTAATATATTATTCTTATAATATATGAACAAATCATTTATTTTGATTTCTAATTAATGTATTAGTCATATAATAAATTAATAAATCAATCTCTTTCTCTAAACGTTGTCATATTCAATTACTAAGTTTGAGGGGAACCCAAAATGACTATGATATCATCAATTAAAGTATATGGGAGTTATAGTAATAAGCTTAGACACCTAATCCAACAAAAGATTTGGTGTTATATTTTATTTTGTTAATTTTTGTTATAATCGATCTTCCACTTATGTTATTGCATTCATGTTATTTAAAGAAAACTATGGATCAAATACTTTCACCCTTATTAATTTGCACCCTTATTAATTTGATACAACTGCCTAAGGCAGTGAAGTTCACTCTAAGGCATAATCCTTCCTAATCGGAAGAGGTTAATGTAGAGGCATCCATCTCATTTTCAGCTAGTACAATACCAATATATTTCATGTCTCCAACTTACCTTGGTTTTGATTCAAATTCTTATTTTAGGTTCGAAACACTCAAGGGAGATTTATAAATTCCTATTAGCCAAAAAGAGTTAAAGAATCCTCATAATAAGCTTATTAATGCTTTCTTAATGGGTCTTTAATAATACTTTACTTGCTTTCCCACTTTTGATCTTTCTTTAGTGTTTTCATTTTCCACAAGTTTTGTTATAGCCCTATATATATATTTTTTGGAAACGGAAAACGAATTAAGTGGAAGCCTACTCGTATTATTTCAACGAGTACCTCGGGTTCGAGCTTCTTTACAGGGCAAACCCCAAGAAAAAATTCTTCATATGTGGCACCATAAGAGATAGTTTGAGGGAATCGAACTTATAAGCTTATGCCCCATATGAGTATAAAACTCGGTGCATCAACCCAGTTAGGCTGGACATCATTTGCTTCTAGCCCTATATATAAGGTTCCAAGCTATTTTTTAGTGTTCATACACGAAATGAGATGATTCTTGGTTGTTGTTAGTGTGGTGTTGTTGCTTTATCACTATTAACATAAATATTCACCAATTTGGTGAATACCGGTGCTGTTTAAATTCTTTATCCTTGATTTAATCAGGTTGTTTACTTTTCCCTTGATAATATCCGTTTTCTTTTCTCGTATATCCAATCATCTACATATCAAAAATCATTGTCATATGCCAACCCATTGTATATCGATGGTCCTCGTCTTATATGACCGATAAATAGGATCTCTGAGTTCCAATTTTAATGAAACAAGTAGTATTTTCGGAATAATGTTTTGTTTCATAACTACTAGATAAGTAATTTGTAGTTCATGGTGTTCTAAACACCAAACAATACACTCGACTAATATAAAATACTAGCATTTTTAAGGCTTCACCCAAACAATATTTTTAGGAGTCATACGTACATTAATTTAAGTTTTAACACTTTTATGACCTTACTAATTTCACTTTTGTCTTTAGTTGTAGTGGATTGTTTGTCTTTCCACAATTGATGATTCTCACTGCAAATAAAATTTTAGTTACTAGGATATAATAAGAGGCTATTTAATGGTGGATTCTATAAGCATTTATAATTTTGATAGTTTTTATAATATAAATATGATTTCTTCATATTTCTAACCTACAATTTAAGCAACATTCATGTAAAATCATTAGGTGAACAAATAGTGACTTCGTACAGTCAAGTACAAGTTCTTATTTCAAGATAACACTATAGATTGTGGATTGATTCGACATATTTAAATGTACCATATCACTCACATTTATATGAAAATAATACATAGCTAAGAAATTATATTTTTTGAATCATGGACGTCAAAGAACAATACCTGATATTGTTATTGTTAGGTTATAAACTCTAACTAAAAATGCATACCAAATAAAAAAGGTAAACCCTTTTAGAAATTTTCTTAGGATTATTGACTCGGGTTCACATTTTGGACACCGTTTTTTATGATTTTTTGAACTAGTTGCCAACCACGATTTGTATAACCTAAATAGTAAATACTACAAAAGATATACATAATACCTATTTCTTTTTTAAAAAAGCTGACCCATTTGTAAATGTTTTTCAGATTGGGGTTTTCATTTTGGACACTAGATTTTTCGAATTTAACTACCAAAATGTGGACGTCAAGAGTGTAGAACTAACATGGTTTAGCGTAATATTTCCGACTACAAATCTATACTCTTCTCTTTGAAATGCATGAGATAATGCTAAACAAGGTTGCAAGGTGTGATGGGTACCATATTTCGGATGTTTCTTAAACACGAGACCACTTCGGATCCAAAAGGACTCATTTTGGATTCGGTTGACATGTTTGTAAATTGCAAATTTTGGATTATTTTGTATAATCCCACAAAAAACATGTCGTAACATTTGTGAACATCCTTATATTTTATCTATTTAAAACAATAAAACAAAATTATGGGTTAATATATATAGTCCTAAAAATATAAATACGAGCAATGATAAATTTAATAATAATGTTAATGTGGTGATGGATTTTTCTCAATTTCATGTAAGAGTTGTGTAGGTTTCCTTTTTCCAAAGAGAGATTATTTATGTGTAACTCAAATGCTTTCTTCTCACATGTAGTAGAGTTAAGCATATTATGTCATCTTTCTCTTAGGGTTGAGTTGTTTCCCACTCTCTCTCTCTCTCTCTCTCTCTCTCTCTCTCTCTCTCTCTCTCTCTCTCTCTCTCTCTCTCTCTCTCTCTCTCTCTCCATCTTATTCTAACTTCATCTTAGGCAACCAACCTGTCTCTTGTTGCCTTCATACTTGTCCTGTTGGAACCTCTGCAACACCCCTCTCTCTCTCTCTCTACACTTTAATTTCTCTCTCTAAACTCCATGAAAACATCACCATAACCTAAATCATCCAACCTCCTTCTGCTGCTTCTCAGGTAAAGCTTCTTGTCTTTTTAGGGTTGTTCCTCTTCATAACAAGTTAACACATTTGGTTTCCGAGTTTTCAAGTGTAAGTTAGAACTGCATGTGTTGGGTTGTTTTGTTTTGAATCTTGTTGATAATGGAGCATGTTTTTAGGGTCTAATTTAAGAGTCATTAATGGCGTTGAGTGGCAGTGAGAAAGAGATAGGAATGCAGACTTCGTCTCCTTACAACAACAATCACTTAATTAGGGAATCATCTTCTGAAACGGTGGATCATGGGTTGGATCCAGATCGGTTTCCCGGCACCGGAGCTTCGGTTACACCGATATCAGTCGGATCTAAGCTGCTGAAGTCGCCGCTGCAGATGCCGAGGTACAGAGAATGTCTCAAGAACCATGCTGCAAACATGGGTGGAAACATCACCGATGGATGCGGCGAGTTTATGCCATCAGGAGACGACGGAACCCTAGAAGCACTCAAATGCGCAGCCTGCAACTGCCACAGAAACTTCCACCGTAAAGAATATCCCACCACCAGTCCCACCGTAGGTCCTTTCCTCCAGCTTCCTCCTCCGCTACCCTCCCCATCTCCATCACCATCATTCCACCACCATCACCACCACCACCGTACCCCACCTGCAATCTCCCTCCACCACCACCACCCCAACTGGGCTTCCTCCATCAACGCTCCACCTGTCAAAATGGCTTTCGCCGGTAGCGTCGGCGGTGCAGCCACTGAATCCTCCAGCGAGGAGCTTAATTTTACGGCGGGGGCGGTTGCTCCGCCTTACGGGGTTGCTAAAAAGAGGTTTAGAACTAAATTTACACAAGACCAGAAGGAGAAAATGCTGGAGTTCGCAGAGAAAGTTGGTTGGAGGATCCCAAGAGAAGATGATCCTGAAGTTCAAAGGTTTTGCGCAGAGGTAGGAGTTAAAAGACAAGTCCTCAAGGTTTGGATGCATAATAATAAAGCCACTTCTGGGAAAAAGCTACTTCAAGATTCCAACGAGAGCATTAATTGATTGTACTGTACAACCCAGTTATGCATAAATTTCGGTAGAATGTTCAGTACTCAGTAGTGTGTATATGACCCGCCTAGGTAGAGACAGATGCATTACATTGCATCTTCATCTTCATCTTCATCGTCTTCTTTTATTTTTATTTTCATTTTTTGGTTGGGTTGAATTTTTATCAATGTCTTTTTAATTGCTTATTCAAATTCTTCCACTAGTAGTAGTTTCTTTATATGATTAATTATACCTCTACTAAATTTTTTTTTATTTATTTTAAAGAAAAATAAAAAGAGCAGTATATTTTTAATCAGGGAATTGAAAAAGATTTTTAATTTAGATTTCATTGGGATTGTCCAAGCTATATTCTTTTAGGTTTTCAAGACCCTTATGAAGCTACTAAATAAAAGTTGTTTAGAACATGGAAGTGGAGTAGAGTACAAACCCTTTTAAGTAGGGTACATTATGCTTCTATTGTTGTACATTATGCTTTTCTTGTTGTACATTGTTATGTAGAGAGACAAGTGTTGAAACAAATGGGTATAGTCACTATAGTCAAATAGTGAGTTATGATTATTGGTTTCACTAATGTCTTGTTACACCATCGAGTCATCGACAAACTAACTTATAATAATAAGTTTATTTGTTATATTTTATAAAATATGATAAATTATTTTTAAGATTTTAATCATTTCATCTAATATTAAATTATAATAAACTTAGCTTGTAAGTTAATTTATTTTTGTCAAAAGAACTTTAGAATAAACAAAATTTGTGATCTTTATAGACAAATCCTAAGGGTGGTTTTAGTAAACCAACTATAATAATAAGAATTTATGTGGGGTTTTGAAGATCTTATAAGAAAATGTTGGGGTTAATAGACCCATGTTGCAACAAGTGGCCACAAAATGACACGGTATGGGCATGCAAATGATCGATATGATTATACATGACATGATGTAGAAATGAAAAAAGATAAATCTTTAAACCGACACAATAAAAAAGATGAAAGACATTTCAATATATAAGTCAATGTAACACAAATGATTTCTAAAAGGTTTCCTTGGTCTAATAATTAAGTATCACGTTCACAATATATTGGGTATGCATTCCCTTCAAAGAATATTTTTTGTAAATTACATCTAAATAATTAATATGAAAATAATATTCAAAATTTAATCACTACATACTTTGTTACGAGGGTCGTTGTTGTCTGTCTGTACTAGGTGCATAAGTGAAAGGGGGGTTGAGAAATTAAGAAGAAACTATGGTTGCATCATATGATCACAATTTACAATATATGTATGTATGATGAAATGAGGAAGAAAGGGTTTTAGATTGTTACGTCAAGGTAGATTGAAGACATTGTTCAACATAATTGGGGAACTACATTAGTTTATAATTGAGAGATATCGATTTGAGGTGATTAGTGTCGTTTGGTATGATGCTACAAAAGCATCCTAATTCCAAAATAAATACTACCTTGTTACCATTATTGTTCAAACGAGATATATCGCACATGTTAACAACTTAGCTACAAACCGATGTCGAACCCTAGCAACGGAATTGACATTCACCAATCGACAGTCAGGTATTATCGTATTAAGCATTAAAATTCTCGGTTCAATCTAAATTCATAATATTTGATTTTCTTTTCTTTTTAGGATGAATGCAGTGGAAATATCAGAAGATGATGATGTTCAGTCTCCTACACCTCCACCAAAGCCAAACGAGACAAGGAAAAATAAACAAGTAAAGCCAAATAACTCAAGTTTTGATACCAAACGTCTTAGGAAACTAACATCAAATGTTTAGCCCTACTATGAATTTCTTAAACGTGATGAAAAATGTGAAACTTATGTAAGTGTAAAAAGTGTGGTGGGGTTTATAATGCTGAAAGTAGAATGGATACTGGAAATTTGAAACGCCACATGAAAGTTGTATATATATATATATATATATATATATATATATATATATATATATATATATATATATATATATATATATATATATATATATATATATATATATATAAATTGATTTAAGGATGTTAGGAAAATCATATTAGATGGTGGTGGTAGTTGTAGTTCTTTGACTAATAGGGTTCCTGGTTTTAACTCTTTTACATTTCGTGAATTATTAGTTATAGCTATTAGGAGGCATGATTTGCCATTTCAGTTTGTAGAATATGAGGGCATCAGACGATGTTTCACGTATTTAAATCTTGAAGTGAATCTTGTTAAAAGGAATACAATCATATCTGATATCAAAAATATGTTTGAGACTGAAAAGTTATAAAATATTTTTTGAGTTGTGCCCCAAGTAGAATATGTTTAACATCCGGTTGTTAGACATCTATAACCACTGATGGTTATCTATCTTTAACAGCCCATTTCGTTGATAGTTTTTGGTGCTTACAAAAACTAATCCTTATATTCATTTTTTTGCCTCCACCACACACAGGTCTTGCTATGAGTAATCATGTTTTTAGTCTTTTGAAGGATTGGGGAATTAAAAAAAAAAGTGTTTTCAGTTACTTTGGATAATGCTTCTTCCAACTATGTGATGGTCGATTTTCTTAAAACCAAAATTGATTTGCTTTCGGATGGTGCATACTTTCATGTGAAGTGTTGTGCATACATGTTAAATATAATTGTGCAAGATGGTTTGAAAGATTTAGATGATGTTGTTATAAAGCTTAGAGAGAGTGTAAAGCACTATAAGGATTCTCAATTGAGGAAGAAAAGGTTCAAAGATAACGTTGCATATGTAGAGTTACAATTATCTAAGGGTCTAAAGCAAGATGTTCCCACTCAATGGAACTCCACCTATATGATGTTAGAATCTTTTTTGTACCACAAAAAGGCATTTATTCATTTGCAAATGACAAATGCTAACTATTCACATTGTCCAACAAGTGAGGAGTGGGGTAAAATTGAAAGAATTTTCAAGTTTATAAAAGTTTTCTATGAGGTGACATGTGCTTTTTCATCCTACTACTAATCTTTATTTTGCCAATGTTTTGATGGTTTGAGTGTTGTTACACAAAGAAAAAGACATCCATGATAGGTTTATGAAAAATATAGCTACAAGGATGTATGCAAATTTTGAGAAGTATTGGGCTGAATTTAGCACGGCTATGGTGATTGCAATTGTTTTGGATCCTCGATACAAATTTTAGATGGTTGAATGGGGATATGAGAAAGTGTATGGGGACGGGTACAACTCTGAGTTGTTAATAATAAAAGAGAAATTGTTTTTGTTGTTCAATGAGTATGTGGATGAGTCAATTTTGAATAAAACCAAAAATGGTCAAGCCAAGAGCATGTCAGACTCTCAAAAATAACTTCATGATGACTTAGATGGAGCTTCTTCTTAACTGATGATGGTAAGTTCTTTACTATTAATCTACTATTTCACCTTTTTTTTTAAATGTCTGATGCTAACATGCTAGTTGCTAATTATCATTCTAATGTCTTTTTAGTTTCTTGATAAGTTTCCTAATTATACTAAAATCTTAATGTCTAATGCAAATGATGGTTTTTTAATGTCTAATGCTATATATCAATCAAATACTATCTTATGTAAAAAACCGGTTTACATGTGGTTTTTTAATGTATGATGCTAACTACCACTCTACTTATAGGTCTGATGCATTATGATGTCAAACAATTTTTTTTAATGTGTGATGTTTAATGGTAGTTCAATGACAATGTACTTTCATGGTACTTATGTAGTTATGCATTATTTTCATTATTTCAGAACTTTGATAAATTTTCAACTAATGTTACCTCTCAAGTTGTGAAATCTGAACTCAAATGTTATTTAGAGGTGAAAGTCATTGTAAGTTCCCAATCTGCTTGTATATCAATCAGATCCGTTTGATGGTGCGGAATCCCAATCAAACGGATGATGCCAGATCAAAATAGAAGAGAAGGAGAAGAAGAATAACTTGAATCTATGATGTATTCAAAGATATGAGTGATGCTCCATACACATTAGATTCTCTCACACACATTAATCTTCTCTCTAGTTTCTCTCTCTACAAAATGCTCTACTTCTCTAGCCCCCTTTCTCTCAAGCACTCCTTACCCTATATATATATGAGACAGTTGTCCGTACACATGTTTACAGTCGTAAACCCGTATATGGTCGTACACATAGCCGTAAACACATATTTAGCCATAAACACAGAGTTGTTTACGGTCCTATACATAAAAATACATTTTCCTAGAAAAGCAAAGTATAAACCATAATTTTAGACCCAACAATCTCCCTATTGGTTTATAGCTTTCTTTTCTAATTGGCCCAACAAACTTCCCCTAAAAAGGTAGCTGGAATTTCTTGTCAATCTTTATTTGGAGTTTGGCTTCAGCTTTCTTGTCAATCTTGCCATAAACACAGAGTTGACTTCCTCTCGAGCAGTTGGGTTTTTCTTCAAAATTTGACTCTGAACGCACATTGGGTGAGGAGACTTCTTGATAAGATTCTTAAAAGATGGCGCTTTCAGCTTGAGAATATTCAGAGAGAACAACAAAGAGAACTAATCTTGTGGATCACTTCAGCAAGTTCATAGATAGCAATAGACTGATTGAGGAGGCTTCAATGCAATCTGTCACATAATCTTCAATTGCAGCTTCACCTTGCTTATGGGGTTGAAGGATTGAATGTTGAAAGAATAATCTTCATTTCTTGCTCCTTCGAATGAGAATTCTTCGATGATCATGGATGAAGCTTCGGCTCAGAAAATCTCGATAGAATCTCCATGAGTCTCATCTACACCTGAATTCACTTTTCAAGACAAAACAAAACTAAAAGAAAACTTAAAACAAAATTTTTGGATTTTTTATATTTTCTGAACAAGAAATAAAACAGAAACGACACTATTTTTGGATATTTTTAATTTTCTAATTTTTGTTTGATTTTTAAATTTTCTGATTTTTGTTTGGTTTGTTTTTTAATTCTCCCCCTTAAATTTGTGCATAGAGGAAAACTATGAACAAATTTAA